CTCAAAGTCTGAATCCTGCTCAAGGTCAAATTGTGTTGTACTGTCAGTGATACTCAATAGTTTTACAAAGCCTCTCTCCATCCAAGAGTATCAACTTATGAGTACCACCAAGCTGTGGGGAAGCCACCTAACAAATTACGAAGGTTTACCAACAATGGATTTGCTCAGTTCTATCTAAGGGGAGTGGAAATATCCATAGTCATTTAAATCAAAATGTCTGCAAGTCAGCCTTATACAAAGAATGAATCCAAACTATCCCCAGTTACAAATGAATAAAGGGGGGAGTTTTTAAAGAAGTTGTGGAGCAGAGTCAGTGGGTAGGGAGGGGGGGGGGTTGTTTAAAAGATTAGAGGCATGCATATGAAGAGTTTCTTAAGCTGATGTTTAATTAGCCCTTGGCAAGAGCGATTCTCAAATCTGCACTCACCAAATCATTCCAACAATAAAAGATGCAGTGGCAATGGGGATGATGTAAGGAGAATGCTTCTCCCAATCTGTGATCTTTTTATAGTAGCTCAGCCATAAGACACAGTAACAACCAAAACACAAGTTGAATCCTATGAGCGCACCTCCAATGTACCACCATAGTCTGATATGTAAAGACATAAAAAGAAAAGGAATAAGGAAAATATAGGTGACCAACTAAAGCATTTAGTTGGTCATTACAGAGGCTTCCATCCCTTGAACCCCTATGTGTGACCAAGAGAGAATTTCTCCTTACAATATCAATACAAAATCAAGCAGTCAAGTGATGAAAATAAAGAAAAATATCAATAAGTGGATTATTAGTTGATTCAATGCCTGGATTTTCTTTGAACTAACATAATGAGAATGTATAGCAAACAGTAAGGAGAATCGCTAATTAGATCTTGGGAGCAAAAGGGTTGAACAAAAGTGGCAATTGAGATCGAGAAGACTACATTTACCATAGAAATTGTCAAACCACAGTGTATAATCTTTCAAAAGAAAACTACTTCAAAATAAGTCTTACAAATCTTGCGGGATGAACACTGTTGAGTCTAATCTCTGGCTTGCTCACCTATGTATTGGTGGATCGAACCTCACAGCGACATAAAAGTCTGTGTAATAGAACACAGCCATTGCAGCTACCATCCAAAACACAGAATGAGGGTTTATTCGAGATTTCGATCCTGGGTCATTTTCCCTGAGTATCTTTTCTCCCTCTTCTCTTGCCCTTTCTAGAATATTGTAGATAACGATGTGTTTTGGTAAGTTATATAACATAGCCTATAGAATTTGATTCAAAGTTTCTTACTGTTTAAAAGAGAATCATATCGTATATCTCTACGACGAAGTGCCTCTTGAAGATCGTCGTGAAGTTTGGACCGACCCTCGGACGCCATTTTGAATCGTACAACTGTACAACTTTTCCGCCCCCGCTGAGTTTAAAGTACAGTGGGCGCATGGAGGAACTTGATCACCGATCGATCACAGGAAGTACGTGACAGCTATCGTCGGGCGGTGAACATGCATTCTAAATGCATTCAAATTATTCTGTATCTCAGTCACGTCTATAGAGAAGGCTCTTTTCTTCATTAGCGCAAATGACGAGCCTAAATCTGTTAGAAATGTCTTTTATGGTCCTTATTATTCTCTTGGGTTTTTTGCAAGGCAATGCAGGTGAGAAAAGCTTGGACGCCTTGTTTAGTCTGTTTATTCACTGTTTACAGTGATTTCCTCGCGATTGTGAAGGACGATAAACATCGTTCAGCTTTATTTCTTTGTCTTCGGTTTGAGTAGACTTAAAATTTAATTTTTATTTTTCCTCTGTTTACAGATATAGAAAGTAGTTTTAGACAAGAGGTACAAAGCTACCAGTTTGTCTCACCGCGGTTAAGCTTTAATCAACAAGGCCGATGGAGAAGAACAAGAGATACTTCAACGAAATCAAGTTCGGTGAGTGAGCCAATATTAAACCATGATTACACAATTTTAAGGCTCTTTCTTTCTTATCTTAAGATAACTGTTTGTGCGTTTCATGTTATTGGACCCAAATTCATTCGACTTCCTGAATTCTTCCTCGAATCAGCTTGACTCGTGTCAATCGACTTAAGCTGCGCGATCAACTAAATGCAGCGCACTTTACAATCACCCACCGAATTTTCTTTTAGGGTGGTCATTTGGGAAGAGCAACACTTTCCCTCAGAGGATTTGGCAAGGAATTCGTCTTAGATGTCGTGCAAAACCGGTATGCCTCATTACTTAAAATGCCTGCCACAGACTTCTACATTTATCATTTTTTTGCAAAGCTTATAAAATTCCATGATTTTTCCCACAGATTGGCTAATCANCAATATGCCACAGATTTTCCTACTTTCCACCCAGGAGTGCCCTCTTGGTTTTCAAAAACTAAACACCTCAAACAAAAGTAATTACCACCTGTCAAACAACTTTATATTGTCTTTGCAAAGCAAGAACCATATGAATTCTTTCGTCTCCCACCATTTTTTTGTGCTGTTTTGGCTTTTTCGTGCATGGCATTGACAGAATTCCTGACGGTTTGTGGGTAATAATTGAATCATAATAATTTCCTATAATTCATGCATTAAGTTTGGCACATGTGAGATGCGACATTTGAATCAACAGTCGAACCGAAGTCGAATCTTCGACTGTTTCAGTCGCAGATACTGCGAAAGTTGCATTTTATTCAAAACATTTGAATTTAATTGATTCAAAAGTCGCACTTCACATACATTTAACTCTTGCATTAAGTTCGGCACTTGTGAAATTCGATGTTTGAACCGGGCCTTAGATTGTGAAAACTGATTGATCAAGTTTGTTGTATTGCTATTAGCTGTTATTCTCAAGAACAGTTCATGGGCTGTGATAGATCATTTGTGATGTCTTTCTTGAGCAACGCCATTCTGTTCAATTTGATACAATATTGGCCGATCAGCTTTTACAAAATAGACTTGCAGAAGACAACAGACTCTTTACTTGACTTTGATGATTACTTAAGGTCAGGCACTACACAGTGGGTTTACTCCTGGGTTCAAACCACCCATTGTCATAGGTAGCAGAGGAAGGGGGTGGGGAGACTGTGCCCCCCCCCCCCCCCACAAACAATTTGAGGGGTACAGTTCCCTCCATGTTTTGGTACTGAACATATAGCTAGCACAGTATAAAAGCCTGCACCCCATGTAGTTAATATAGTTTTATAGTAGTTCATATAATTTTTTCAAAGGAAGTTTATGGTGATGTAATGTTTTAGGAGTGTGAGAGGTACAGTGATAGCTGTTGTAATGCCACCACCTGCAAGCTTCATCCTACTTCTGAATGTGATTCTGGCCCATGCTGTGACAAATGTAAAGTAAGTTTAAATCAACACAAGAGACAAAGCATTTCTTGGGTCTTTCTCCTTCACCAAATGAACAGTAATGCTGATATAACTGCATACAAAAAATTGCTTACTATAGCATTTTTAAATCTGGATCAGTGTTGATTGTCCTCCACAAAAACATGCCATGGTTGGAAGGGTAGCTGAACAAGCTCACAAATTTTAACTCATGAGTGGGGCATATACCAGAAGAATAATTTAAAGCAGCCATTCTTTTGCTTGGCAGTAAATTGTGCCCAACTGGAGAACTTCCTCTACCTGGCCTTAGAATGGCAACAAGTACACTTAATAATATTGGGGAGTCTTTTTTTTTAGCTACAGGCAAATTATTTTGATAATGCAATGGGAACTGAAGTGATTTTGTTCCTAGGAATATGTTTCTTATAAGCTTGGTGTTGAATTTGTTTTCAAGCTTTATTCACTGATTTGAAAAAGTATTCTCCCTTTTGATTTCTTCTCAGGTTAAGCCTCAAGGTTCTCTCTGTCGAGACAAGGTCAATGAATGTGATTTACCAGAAGTTTGCACTGGAAAATCAGAATTGGTAAGTGGATCGATAGATTTTGATTTTCTCCCTTTGAATCATGGGCAGTACAGTTTATCATATTCCAGTGTAAGCCTCTTGCTGTTTCAAAAGCAAATTTATGGTCAAATAAAACTAAAATCTAATTGGTGAGATTCTTTCCACTTAACTTCATGTAGTTCTTTATCCCTGGAAAAAATACCTTGTTTGCTTACAATGAATATTTCAGGGCAAGAACCTTATTAAGCAACAGGATCCACACCATGTACTATGTTTTGCTTTGTCCTTCAGTGTCCCATCAATAAATATGTGCAGGATGGTACAACTTGTGCCAATGGAGAGGTGAGAAATTTTGACC